GTCGCTCCCCGGAGGGGCGATAACTCGGAAAGGATTATCGAAATGGCGGCGGCTACCTTGGCTCTCTGGTCCCAACTGTACTGCGGCTGCTGCTGCTGCTGCTGCCGCTTCTCCTCAGCGGTGGCCTTTTCCTCCTTCTTCTCCTGCTCCGGGGACGCGGTGCCGTCTGGCTCTCCTCCCTCGGCGCTGGCCTTGGGCTCCTTGGCCTGCTTCCTCCGCTTGGAGAAGAAGCAGCCCATGGCCGCCCCAGACGCTCCTTTCGGTAGCGATACAGCGCGCGCACCTCACGCCAACCGCCAAACGGCAACCGCCGCCCAAATGCGCCCCGCCCTCGCCTTTAAGAGCCCGCTTCCGGCTTCTCTAGCCGCCCCGTCTCCCAGGGCGACGGACGCCCCGCCCTCTTTAGGAACGTCGACCAATCATAAGGCCAAACTTCGGATCATTTCCGTCAATCAACCGCTCCGAACAATATTGACACCTCTTCGCCCCACCCCTCTCCTCAGTTCCTCAAGAAAACTAGGGCCTGTATCCACACTGCAGAAACAATCCAGTTTGACACCATTTAAACTGCCATGACTCCATCATCATCATCATCATCATTATTATTACTATTGTAGTAGTAGTAGTTGTTGTTATTAATATATCTCACCTTTCTCCCAATATAGGGACTCAAGGCCATCCATGTACTTACTTTACTAACAGAATAAAACATTTATATCTTATTTCAGTAATATAAAATACTAAAATACAATGGGGGAGAAGCCCATACACACGCACAAACCCAAAATGCAGAATAAATCAACATAGGCTGCATCCACACTGCAGAAATACTCCAGTTTGACACCATTTAAACTGTCATAATAATAATAATAATAACTTTATTTTTATATCCCGCATTTCTGCCAATACACTCAAGGCGGATCACATAGAATAAAATTGAATTTAAATAAGACATACCCTGCATTAAAACAGTAATAACAATAATAATAACAATTGACCCTCTCCTTTAAAAGATAAAATAGCATCATGGCTCTATTATTATTATTATTATTATTATTATTATTATTATTTTCTGCCTTTCTCCCAATATAGGGACTCAAGGCCATCCATGTACTTACTTTAGCAACATAGACTGCATCCACACTGCAGAAATACTCGAGTTTGACACCACTTTTAACTGCCATGGCTCCATCATTATTATTGTTGTTGTTTATTTATACAATGCCATCCATATACCTGGCACTTTACCAACAGAATAGAATATTTATATCTATTACAATAATATACAATACTAAAATGCAATGGAGGGAAAAGCCAAACACACATGCAAACCCAAAATGCAGAATAAAACAACATAGGCTGCATCCACACTGCATAAATACTCCAGTTTGACACCACTTTAACTGTCATGGCTCAATGCTAGGGAATTCTGGCAAACTGTAGTTTGTTTTGGCACCAGAGCTCTCTCTAGTTAAATGTCTTATAAAACTATGGTCCCCAAAATTCCATAGCACTGACCCATGGCAGTTAAAGTTGTGTCAAACTGCATTATTTCTGCAGTGCGGATGCATCCCTGGTCAGTACAGATAATCAATTACAGTAAAAATATAAAGCATTAATTTGAAATTCCAAAAGTTTTAGAAAACAAAATAGTTTTCAATTTGGATTTAAAAATTGCAAGAGAAGGAGCCGTTCACAAGTTTTCAGTTGAGGCGATTCCAGGAACTGAGGACAGCAAGAGAAAAAGGAGGATGCAGAACCAAGGAGGAGGAGACCTTTGGCTGGAACTGTAGTTTGTTGTGGCACCAGAGCTCTCTGACAAAGAAGGCTAAATGTCCTACAAAACTACAGTTCCCAGAATTTCAGCGTTTTCAGCCATGACAGTTAAAGTGATGTGAAACTGGATTATTTTTGCATGCGGATGCAGCCCCAGTCTCCTCACTCTGAAGCATTTTACTGAGACATAACAGGGAATGTCTATGAACAATAACACTGAGGGCTGAAGGAAGAGGGAGAGTTGGCAAAGGTTTCTCCTGCGCCAAACCCCCTGCTCAACCACACAACAGCCTGCTGTGAGGCATTTAACATCTACTTTGCAGATAAAATCTCTCAGATCAGAGCTGACCTGGACGCCATTGTTTTGACAGAATCCGCAGGTGTGGCATCCAGGAGCT